ATGATATTCTACAAGTGAATGTGAAGGGGGTTTATCAATAAATCGAAATATTGATTGGGTGGGTGCTTTAATTGGTTGCAAGTAAGGTGGCTATTGATCTACAACCAGTTAAAGTGGATCTCTTGTTATGGATGAAACTCCTAACGGGCCACTAGCAAGATGGTTGTGAACTCCATCACTTCTAACTGGCCAAGAAACAGTCTGATCGTTTCTACCACCGCTGGGCATCACCAGTCTTTCGTCTTAGTAGATGAGTGACCCAGCAATTGCCAGCCAATTCAGAATGTAACAGAATGAAAGGGGTACCAAGAGGGGCTCTCTAACGACGCGTATCAAATGAGCAGGCATCGAAACTGTAAAGCGTACAACAGGAAACTCAGCTTAGGTTGGATTAACCTGTTTCAAACTTTTCCTACTGATGAATGGACACTTGAGATGGCACGTTGGTCGGTTATGAAGTTCGTACATCTGTGCAGGTTCGCCCGTTGCAACTTGCTTTATTAGTTTCCATACAAAGACCGCTCTGGAGGGACACTTTTTCTACAGAGTAAACATCTACGGGAAGATTCTTCTTTGACTGGGGTAATTAGCTTGATAGGGATATGTTGGTGGCGATTTGTCCTACCCTACACAGTTACACGAATTTTAGGGGAAGGGAAGCTTATTTGAGGCCGATTCGGATGCATCAATCAGGAGCTAACATCCATTCCCGATAGGCCGCATGAATGGGAGGAATTCTAGTCTAAACCTAGGCCATAAGTTCATCGCCCCCTTGGCTTCATCATCACGATATCATCACCGTTCTCATTTACTACAAATCAACCAAAAATAGAATGAGAACAAATGGCACAAACTACTTGCTTTTATAAAATGGTGCGAAGTTTACAACACTCCAATGAAACAGACCCCTTTAAACAGATACCATCTCATGGGAGAAAATACACGTCAGCGTTACCCATCAAGAATGATTTAGTTAGAAACTCTTCGAATAGTTTCATTGATTTATCAAAAAAAATATAATCGCTTATGACAAACACAGTGGCTGACACGTATCTAGAGCATAACATTCTATTCAAGTTGGGAAGTATTCTCCCTTACTTTGCTTGCTCAAATCCTTCTGCTGACTTTGAAGCGAACTTTTGGGAGTTTCGCAGTACAGGGTGCATGAAGTGAATTCCCCATAAATCAGCAATAGACGAATTTACTTCTCGATGGGTTATCAGCAAAGCAGTTCACGGGGCGAGGCCCTGAAGACACAGTAGATGCATTAATGGAAACCAATGCAGCCCGCAGTGTCCTATATCCAACGGGGTGTATGCTACCAACACGCAACTACCAACTTAGTCTAGTGTTCTTGATCACTTTCCACTCTGAGGTACCTCAGTCAATATCAAGCCCCCTGGCATCCTAATCAAATCCAAACAAGCCAACACTGATCAGATGTTTGCATACACTAAGGTACCTACTATCAAACGAATATCTGTTTGAATATACTGAATAACTGCGATCCAGGGAGCCAAGCGAAGCTGCATACGAACAGCGCCATGCAACACAATAACTGTTAACTGAGTATTGACCTAGGTCCTGAGCAAACCTGAAGCACTGTTGACTCAGTGTGTGTATTTGACACAACCCCAAGAGCATTGCGAAAAACAGGATTTCAACCATCGGCACCGTCAGTACGTGGCAAGGTTAAATTTGTTGAGGTCATTCATCTTTATTGATTCAAAATTGTAAGTATGCACCAATCGTGGCAGTGGTTACTGATTATTGGTAGTGTGAGGCGATTTGGGTTTTTGTGTGGAGATTTTATCCTGTAAGTGAAGCCAATCTATTCTGAGAAGCCGGGAACCACTGTATATCTGTTCCATCCTTGTTGGGAATCATCAGAAGTGCGTATCTCACGAAGCTACGGAGAGTCTCGAACCCGAGACCTCTTGGCTGGTGGTTTAACACCCAATCATTCGGCCACGAGCGGCTGATCAGCCGTTGGAAGACGCTTATCTACTGGTGCGTTGGTTACTCAAGAAATTAGCTAAGTTCGACCAATATTTACCTGTTTCGTGCGTTAACGCAGCGTTTTCAGATCTAAGAGAAGTTACGATTATCAGGCTGAAGATGTGATGAGCACACTGAGTGAACACGGATGGTGGGTAGATTTTTAGGAATGATGAAAATCAATAATGACGTATAGCGTAACTTTTTTCACAGACTATCGATTCTGCCAGATTTTTTATCCTGGTATTTAGCCAAGTATACAATCTACTAGACTAACAGAGACTAAGGCTGTTCTGGGTGTCCGTTTTCTGTATTTTTGTCCCACACAGAATGTGGTATTGGAAAATCACTTGACGCAAAGTTCAGTAGATGTTTTCTGCATCATTCCACCTGGTTTAAAGACTGACGGACACCAGAGTAAAGGTTTATAAGAGAAAGTTCCAGCTTCTCGGACTAATCCAGTGGCAAATAACGGACTGTAGTGTAACATCCGCTTCACATTATAGGTATTGATCCGTTGAAGCAGGTGAGCTGCGAGTTGCCTTCGATTTTTGGTCGTATACTTGCAAAAGTGGGCAGAGGGGGCGACAGCCGTGTGAGCAGGCTAGAGGCTAGCTTCGTTTTCGTTTGTGCCACCCGCAGCTTCCTGACAAATCGCAAAGAAGAACCTCTGACAATGAAAGTTTAAAGGGAGCCAGGAGAACACTTGAGGTCGGAATGTGTACAGGTGGTAAAAATTTGCGAGCCCCCCCCCTCCCACGGGAAAGTTGTTAAGAAGTGTGCTGATCGAATCCCTCTTTTCATGGTTCGAGCAGCCCAACTCAATAGCATAGGTGATTTGACTTAAATATACACCAATGTCGCGATATTTTGAAATTTATTTTGCCATCTTTAGTCGCGCATGTAAGGCATGCACTCTTACACGGCAAAAGGAGAAACAAAAATTGTTGGCTGTCCACAGTCGATCATCTGTTCGCCGTCATGGTAACCAGGTCAGAATCAAAATCCTTTATGCACAGAATTCCGCTCGGAAAGTGGTCGGTAATCAGGCTAGCAGTAATACTTAGAAGGCACTCAAGGGGTCAATGAAAAGACTGGTTTCAAAATGTCTAGCAATCGAAATAGACACGGTGGATGTACTGTTTGTGGAGTTTAATTCCTTTCGGAATTTGCACAAGACACAAGTGAGCAGCAGGACAAACGGGACTTAGAGCCGATGTCATTTTGCTTGCGTTCATTACCTACAGTAATAACCTTTCGGCTGTGGCACCCTTTCAATGTATAGTTTCTGTGCAGGTTGCTTGACTCTGGACAGGAGCAATCGAAAAACAATGGTTGTGCTTGGACCTTCGCGTCAATAGTTTTGCATCCTAATTGTTGAGATCTCTCGAGCTGTAATTTCAATGGGAATTCTGCTGAATCTCTCGTTTACAATATCTTTCAATTAAACATGTTGCATGAACCCCGCTCCTCATTTTCAAAATATTGATACGTCTTTCTGACAGGACGCTGTTCAAAGGGGCTTTGAAAGGTGTCATTTGACTCACATCCGTAGGCTTTAAGAAAAAATGAAAAGCTGGAAATTTTCGTCATGGATGAGAAAAAAGTATTGTCAACGAAACTGATTTGCAACTTGTGGCTCAAAGCTTGTGAGAAAAGTTGTCAGCGTTGAACTTAGTGGACTAATCATAACCATGTCATCAGTCAGTCTGTTTGGAGTCTTTAAGTGTGCCAGTGCGCGACAGAATCAAGTCCAAATGGTTTGGAAATGTAATAAATCCTATCGATCGATGAATACTGATCCTTTTGTCATAAGCGATAAGAAGCACACCATGCAAGTTTGCAACCCGGACCGAAAGACGGTTCATCGACCTGTCCCGAAGATGAGTGGCCTAGTTGGTATTCGAGTATCAGTCAGCACAAAGATTGGGATTTCTCAGTGTATTCCCTGAAGAACGTTAGCAACTTTGGGGTGACCGCACTATTTTGTCAAATACTGAATAAGTAAAACCGTCACTTGGGCAGTGTTGAAGAGCCCGTCTGAGAGAATCACTTGAATTTAGCCCATTTGTTCGGAAGAACAGATGGCCGAAAGAGCGTCTCCTCACCAGAGGTATATCAACATTCATACGTCCTCCCTCCAACGTAAAAGAGGTTTTAGAAAACGAACTGACGCTCATTTTGGCTAGTTGTATCATCAGCTAGTGGTATCAGTACTCGAGGGCAATTGTTCTCGAGATTACTTTGATCCGTTCTCCGTAAACTGCTATGACAATCTGATGAGAATTGTTACAAGCTTCTTCACCCATTTTTTGTCACTGAAATGCAACTGCCGTGCCACCAGCAAACATAACCAACCTGAGCCTTCAAATTTCCGTTTTTCCAGTCAGTTTACATAATTTTATCCAGTTCGCGATTTCGTAACGTTATTTACATATTTCACTTTGTCCGAAACTTGGTGACTTTCCAGTTTTCTTCAAAACATCTAGAATACTGGACTTGGCAACCATTTGATAACGTTTTTGATTGGGAGAATTTCGTCGAAACACACTTGTTTTTGTTAGCTCCGTGTCATATTTTGAAGTTGCTGCATCCGAGCATGCGCAGAGATAACCCATGACTTCTGCATCTGTTGTATCGTGGGTGGCCGTCTATTGGTTACGCCTGCATTGAGCCCGCCAGACTACGCGATAAGGAGAAGACAGAGAACTCGGGACAGGGCTGTATTGTCAGGACAAAACATACAGAACTTCGGCGTAAACACATAGGATGACTAAATGGCTAAATATGGTCGTTCACGCGTTCGTTCTGTATAGCCAATGGCGGTGTTCGGTCGTGAACAATTTCAGCCCCCACCCAACTGGTCTTAGGTTGCTAAGCCGTGTTTGGTGAGCTCCGCCAACGCACTTGCTATCCGAAACGTGTCGTACGGCTGGTGACCTTGGGGATGCGTCACCCTCAGCACATGTGCTTTTTTCATGTCTGCGCGCGTCTTGACAGCGTCATCGTTTCTTATGCTGATAATGATAATCGTTCAGCTGTAACACCCTTTCGGTCCCCAGCTGCTCTGCCATCCAGAGAAAACACAAAGGCTGAGATACCACCAGTTTGCTGAAGCCTGGAGAGGAGCAGCTGAGATGCCCAGGTTGACTTCGAACTATGGACCATCTGGTCAGTAAGTTCACGCCTTAACCACTGAGGTCTCTCGAGCTGAACAAGTCCATCGAGGGATTCAACAGGGTGTGCTGAATGTGTGGCTGGATGAAAACCGGTCACACAGAAAAAACAGTCCCATGAAATGATGAGGTGATCAGAAGGGGAGTCAATATCCCTGTAATATAATTTTCAGGAATTCACTGAAAGATACAGACTCAATAAGCACCGGTTTAACAGCTGTTTTGTGGTATTTCGTTTTTCTGTCGTCTTGATCGTGATGATGAAAGAAATGTTAGGATGAGATGATTGTTCAGCTTTAGCACCCTTTCGGTACCTGGCTGCCATGCCACCAGAACGAAGCACGAGGGCAGGGATACTGCCAGGTTGCCCAAGCTTACACAGAGGAGATCTAAAGGTACAAGTCAGGCTGAACCACGGACCTTCCGGTCTGTAGACTCGCGTTCTAACCACTGGACCATCTCGACCTCTGTCCTGATCAACGGAAGGCGTTAGTTTTTACTTGGCTGGTTTGTCAGCTGCATCAGACCCAAAACTGACAACAATGTCTTGAGAGTGAACAGGACTCAAACAGGAACCAACTTGAATACCCAGCATAGCAGAGACCAATCGTAGCACCGGTATACGAAATCGGCTGATATGCTCACGTGGAACGGCGTTTCTGGATCGTAACGAAAGCCGCATTCCCATCTCAACAGTGAATTGGGATTTCCGTCATCTTCCAAAGGAAAAGTACGGTCGTTTGAACCAAACGCAAACGTTGGCCTATTTCAAGTATTGTTTCTTCCCAGATATAGTTCGACAGGATAACAAAAATCTCGCACCTGAGTAGCTTTCATAGCAGAAAAAATGTACGCAAAAAATTATGATGAAAGACGTTGGATGATGAGGTGTTTTGTTCTGACCTAAATATGTTGGCAACAATAGGCTATCCAGGTAGGAAAACACAAATATAACAAAGTAAAATCAGATCAGGAACAATGTTCCTATTTACATTTCGAAAGCAATCGATCAGCCAGTTCCAGTGTAGTAGAAATTCGCGAATACAGGCGAAGTTGAACGAGGGAATCTGCTCGAGTCGGGCCAATATTGACTATTGAAACAGGAAGTTTTCGTTCGCAAGCTTGAAGTATCAGTCTGTAAGAAGAAAACGTCTTTGAAGGACATAAGGTAGACGTGATTGGTAGAAGACCTACCTGAAGAGATGTTCCAAGACATAATAGTGAATCGGCATTGTCGACGAGTTGAGCTGCTTCGGTTTTTCTCCATGGTGGTAGGTTCTCTCCAAAGAACACTACGTCCGGCTTGAGAATACCGTCTCCACATTGAGGGCAGGTAGGTATCTGAAAGAGGTAAATCAAAGAAAAACTGAAGGAATGGCGTTTTTCTAACAGGCAGGTACACGTAAGATCCATAACAAACCATTTAGGGTAAGGTAAATGGTATCGGTTATACCCAAAGTGTACAATTCAACCACGAATCTATGGACTGCGTTAAACCCACGAGACAGACGTTCCGATAAGAATAGTGGACGGTATAGGCTCGCCACCACATGAGCTAGCCAGATTCTCAGCTGGCATACTAAAATCCCTTACGGGAAAATCAAACATTTTCATTGGGAATTCGTACAACTTTGCAAATAAGATCCCTACAGAGAGACGAAGTTTCGACATCATCGCAATGTACACAAACTTCCGCAGGACGAACATTTTGGAGGTGACCAAAAGGTTGTTACTGACAGACACGACACGTAATGAACGAAAACAACTCTCGGTGGATGAAATAGTAGAGTTTTTTTTGACACGGTTGTTTACTTACAAGAACAACGGGTTGCAATGGGATCTCAAATATCCTTAGTTTTAGCGAATATTTATATAGAGGATTTCGAACAAATGACCTTGGCCAGAAATGATCTTCCACTAAGAATTTTTCCGCGGTATGTTGAAGCCGCCTTGTTGTGATGGAGTTAACAACTTGCGCGACTATTTCAATAGGTTGAATTCAACAAACAACGTAATAGACCGGTGGACCCAGTTGAATCACGTGGCAATAGTTTGCTGGAAATATGAGGGTGATCCGCGTCCTTTGACGTAGTAGGCTACTTGAAGCACAGGAGTTCAAGTTATCACAGATGGACTAGGCGGAAGCGATCAGAGCTTCCCGACATTTTGCGAACGAGGTCCTGAGCAAGTGCGGTTTGCAAAGGCAGATGAACGACCAGGCATGAAATTCGGCTATAAAATCATGCTACTAATTTGAATTTAAGTAGGATAAAAACAACCCACGACTCATGCAGACCACGAAGCATCGCTCAGCAGTGGATGAAGCATATGAATACCGAAAATGAAGAATTTTGGGAAAGAAGTTGACTATTTGTTAAGGAGTCACGATAATTCTCACCTTAAATCCCTGAGTCTGGCTAGGCGATAGCTCAACGTCACCATCAGGGGCAACAACCTTTTCCTTTCCGTCATAAACTGCCCAAGACGGATTGAGTTCCAGAAACATCTGTTGTAATTCAGCACGCCCAAAACGATGTTGACAATTCAGGCACACTACATAGTGGCTTGTCCCGTGAAGTTCAAGAATTCTATTACAACCAGCCAGGTGATGCAACCGATCTACATTTTGCGTAATAATAGCAAACAGCCTGCGATAAGGAAAGAGTAATGAGAAATTTAAAAGACACACCAGTTTTTTGAAGCCCAATCGGCTAGAATATGGTGGCTTGTATTGGGTTGTACCTGTGAGAAATAGGGCCAGCCAATAAAGTTACGCGCCCAATAAAAACGCCGTGCCTCCTCATTACGAAGAAACGTTTGGAACTCAACAGGTCTTCTGTCGGTACGTGCATAAAGCCCAACACGTTCAGACCGATAGTCTGGTAGTCCGCTTTCTGTGGAGACTCCAGCCCCAGTCAGCACAAGCATGTGTCTGGAACGGGAGATGTGCTCGACCAGTTGGTCGATTAGCCTTGCATCAGGCAGGGAGTGAGACGGAACAAAACGTGACTAAAAGAAACAAAAAGTGTAGAACTAGATAGGTGAGCAAGGAAAACTCGGAATGCAACGATTAGGGTGCGAATAATTCACTCCCTCCTAGCGAGGACGACCGTTCTTACAAGGACAAAAGCCACAGGGTGGTGGACGTTTTCACGGGACTGAGGAAAAAACATCGACGTGTCAGATGAAGTTCTGAGCCTTCAGTGACGTGAGAAGTAAGTCAAGCGATTTCTTATTGATCAGTCAGTGCTGAGACTGTCGACGTAGAAAATCAGTTAGATGCTTCACTGCCATTGAGTAGAACGTTGTATTCATCTGCGAATGAACCGTTGCGACCAAAAGAATCAGTAGTTGAAGAGAAACAAGTGAATTGTGAAGATATGCGATTGACTATAAGTTAAAGTGCAACGAATTCTCCAGAGGCGAGTCGACGAATGGACCCACAGACGATACAGACTGGTGAGAAGTACTGTGTCATGCTTCGCAGACCGCCTGTACAACGCACACTTTCGAAATATAGATGGTTATCCTAGAGAAGATCACGTGAGAAGCCAGCTGCCACCAGGCCCCGTGATGTGAATCCCCCTACACTTGCAGATCAATAGTGGTACGTGCCGGATGGGTGTAGGCTCACCACACTGGTGGTCGTCTAAGCGTGGTTTTCAAAGGAAAACCGTTCAACGTCGCAGTAGGTTTGATTCACCTGAATGGTTAACTGACTGCATCGCAAAATATGAAGGACTGTGTATTGTAAATTTTCCGCTTGAAGGTTTTGGAAATTACTCATATCGGGTCCCTTGGATCCGTTAGCTCTTGACGTATTCCACATTCCATCTTCAATAGGACCGGGCCCAACGACTGTACGCGGATACACGAGAAGGGATGTTTCGCAGTTTCGGACATGTAACACCAGGACTCCCGAAACCAAAGTAGAGTAGGCAGCTGCCCCTATGATAAGCAAAGTTTTCTTGGCAAGGCAACAATGTGCAGGACTAACTGCGTCGGTTTTTTTCATCCGTCAAGCTGATTCAGAAAACCTTAGTTATGGCCAGTACGGCGCACAAGAGCACAAACAACCCTTTAAATGGACACTTCTTAGTTCCAAAAGTACGGATGCTGCCAAGATGGAACGAAGAATATGAAGGATATAAAAAAAGTCGACTGGTTAAGGGGCAAATGTTCTGATGACCTTGATATTTCAGTAACCATTCACGCATTTCACTAAGTAATTGCTCTTTATATACAGAAAAACCAAATTAAACTTTATATGTAGCAGAGAAATTGGGCAAAAGTAAGGAGTTTCCAGTCAATGCAGAAAATCCAAGAAGCCATGTACAGCTGTTTCATCTTTATTGCGCACCTCACAAAACTACAGGGAGTTTTGAACCAGCTAATTCGCGGCTAGTAGTTTGAGCATTAAACCGTTCAGCCACGAGCGGCTGATCAGCTGATCACAATCAAACAGGATACAGCACCACTCATCGTTCAATCACGGAAACCGAATCACGTGATCACGTATTGACTGGCTCTTTTTCACTCGGATTTCTTTTCTGGAGCGCAATAAGTACTGCTCAACCCGTTTTGTGTTTAGCTTGGATGACCTCATCTTTGTCACTTGTAAATCGTGCAGCAACTTTCTAATGTATCAAAATCCAGTTTGATTTGAGCAACCTCCTTTTAGGACGCATACATGATTATTTCACAGCATCAATAATGCATGCTTATCGTCAAGTGCACGATTTTCTTGAGTTCCCTATATCCATCAAGTATTATGTCGTTTGTGAGAAATAAATCCAGTGAGGACACTTCTGGTCCACTGGAAACTGAAGTGACTTTTAGAATGCGTTTTCCTTTCGATTAAAAGGCGTTGACACGTTGTTAGGTCTGACGTCACTGCGTGGCGCAATCTGTCACCCAGATTGGAATGTATTCGGCATTTACAGATGCATGCATGATGAAACTTTTAAGGGGGCGATGCACGTCACAACTACTGTGGGGACGTGATTCGTGTGACTAAGGCCCAAGCAAATCAACTGTGATGAAGTATTTGTTGGCGCTGCATTAAGCGTTGATTCAGCATTTTAACACAAGGCAGAGAATAGCTGACCTCTCCGTTAATTCTGATTATCTGACCCACCCGAGAGATATACTGAAACCAGGGGCTTAAAAAGGTCGAATTAGGCATTTGAACACAAGGCACAGGATAGCTGACGTCTCCGTTAATTCTGATTGTCTGGCCCACCCGAAAGATATAATGAAACCAGGGGCTTAAAAAGGTCGAATTACTTGAATAGTTTGCAGGATCACAGGTACGAATTTATACAAAGGCGAGGATTTCGTCATTTAAAAGTGTGGCACACATCCGAAGGATCAAAGACAATTCAGCTATGTTCTTCTTTGTCAACTCATAAAATGTCTACAGCTAGTAAGGAAAGTTAATAAACGGCTTTTAAACAGTCGTTTGTGTACCTTCTGGAAATAAACAAGCGGAAAGACCATTGGCCCAGAGACAAATTATGTGTACACCTTACCTAACAAATAAGCATAGACTCAACAAATACACTCGTTTGCAACCCGACTTCGCTTTCACTGGAGACTCAACTGAATATCTCGTTTATGATATTCTTCAAATGAATGTGCTGCGCAACTGAAACGTGAGGTAGCCTTTGTGCAGCACATTCAGTTGAACAATAACTAAACGAGAGGTTGAGTTGAGTCTACCGTGAAAACCAAATTGACATGCAAATGAGCATATCTGTCGGAACCAGTCCAATTTGGGTTAAATTGGAACATAGGGTTGACGGAAACTCGGGGACTGCGCCTATATGATGAACCCGAACTGGAAGAGGGCGAAACCAGTCGTGCGCTGTCGAAGAATTTTCAGCAACGTTGTGAGTAGTGTATCACATCTAAGCACAGACTACTTTTAAAATGGTGTGTATCAACCGATTCATATTCCTCTTCACTTGTATGACTGATACCACCCATTTCAAAACAGATAGTCACCTATTGTTGAGATGCGAAGGCCGTTGAACCTTCTGTCAAATCCACACAAAACGAACCACCACTCCTGGCATGGGAGCCAGCAGGATTTCGACTACCAGTGACGTGACACCTCGGGGCCAGTTACAAAATCAAAGATCAACTGCTCAGCATCGAAATTAAAGCAGTTTTCAGTTAACATTAGGTTGAATGCTGTTGCCTGAACTTACCACATATAGAACGAGCTATTCTTATCGGGTGAAAGTGGTAATAAGGGACCTTGGAAACCGTGAATAACATGTTAGTATCTCAAACTAAAGGAACAGTAGTTTTTTGGTTAGCTAGATTCACCATTGTGAAAAAACGCTTCAATTAGTCGCTAGACTTTTGCGCCATGTAACTGTCACTGACAAGCTTTATACCAAGAGACAAGTTCACATCATGATTTTGCCTTTTAGCGCAAGCTGTTGGAAAAAACTAACTGCGCAGCTTGTTTATTCATGCAACGCTTTATTCCAAAGTTAGATTCTTATAAACAGATCCTTATAAACAGCAACGCACCTGACATAAGGTTGTCTGGCTTCAATACGCACTCGTGAACGCGCGCCCGACTAGCGAGGTTCGACCATCCTTCGGTCCTACTGCTAGCCTGGTCCACTACTTGAACTTGACCCCAGGCATGGGAACGTCATCAACAGCTGTTGTAAAACCTGTGTACTTGCCGTACAGTGGTTATAGCTGCCACAATTTTGTTCGCCGGTGACTTCGGGGGGTGAGGTATGTAGCTACGCATTGTAGGCGGTAGATGATATAATTGATGTTTCAATACTGGAGTGTCATTGGGAAGTGCGGGAGCAAGAGCTACGTGTCGGAAGTAACAGTTTGGATGCATGCGCGCCAGTGAGCGCCCGACTGGGAGTCCGAGTCCGCTACTTCCCCCTTGATATGGACTCAGCAGAATAATTACACCAGGAAAGGAGAACTGTCCGAACGAGTACTGTGAATTCTACGAAACCTGCGAACATCTACCGCTAACTGATCTATCCCTAAGAAGAACCATAATGTTCTGAATCGTAGAACTGTCCAACAGGTGGATGAACAAGATTACTTGCGAAGATATAGCGAGATTCCGGATCCCAATCAAATTAGAAGAAAGGTCACATCTCGTCGAAAGGCATTGTTCTCATACGAATGACCCTAAAAGTGTTCGCCACTAGGCGAACTAGACACTTGGAGACATTATACATTATATATATGTATATATACTACCCCACAGGTGAAGTAGAACCCTGGACCGTGACATTATACATATATATATGTATATATACTACCCCACAGGTGAAGTAGAACCCTGGACCGTGAACGTGGAACCACCTACGGCCTCGGAGGTTTACGACTGCATATGTTCCCTCAAGCGCCACCGAGCTCCCGGTCCGGATGACCTTCCTCCCACACTGTTCAAAGACG